TTTTTCATTTTACAGTATTTTTTTAACTAATTTTAAGTTCTTTAACTCTCATGAAATCTCACATACTTTCATAACAATATTTTACTCTAATTAGGTGCTTATTATTATGAAATTTTGAATTATGAAAAATTAGGATCCCCTTTCTACAAAATTTCAAAATTTGTAATCTAATTAAATCAGTAAAATGATTGCCGTGGCTTTTAAATAATTGTAGGTTAATAAGGAAAACCTTACAATGTATTATTGGAGTATTACATTAATAGCTTACCTCTGCTTCCTGACAATTGAGGTCCTTGAACATGTGAATTTTCACTTTTAACTATGCCAATATTACAATCTACAAATAATATAACACTAATTAATTATAGTTAATACAATGCTAATAATGACTAATCAAAGTGTCAATGCACTAATCTTAATATTAGAATGATGAGTCTAATTAACCCATAGTTGTCTTAAATAAATTCTAAATCATCATCATTACACTTAATATATCCTTATTTAGCCTTCACTACACCCAATCATCATAAAAAACTCATTTCTTAAACCTAGGATTTTGGATTTTCTTATCCTACCACATTAAACAACATCAAAACAACTTAAATATCACTTGTTTAACTTCAAAACCCTTATAAAATTCAAATCTAAAGGTTGGAACCTTCATACATCACTAACCCTAAAATCTTTCCCAACCCAAACAAGCTAAAAGAGAAAAATGAAGAGTAGAAAAATTGTTAAGAGGGTTATCTTAGCTATTTGAGAGCTATGATCGAAGCCTTTATGATGGGAATAACCAAATCCTAGTAGAGCATTCAATTTTTACACTCAACCTCTCAAAAACTTCCCTCTGTCATTTAGTTTCACTTTAGAATCATTAAACCTAATTTTGTGTCATACACCACGACAAACGCACCATAGGCCATGATACATGACACAAAAATGGACTCCTTACTTAAGCCCACAACTGCTAGGCTAAAATCAGCCCAAAACCTAATTTGGACCCATTTAACCTTAATATAAAACCTAAGCCTATTTAAAGTTATAGTCTAATGCCTAAACTCATGGTTAACCTCAAATGACCTTGATTATAACTTAATTCACCAAATCAAACATCAAAATAATATAAATCCAAATAATAACACCTCAATCAACCCTCAATTTCCACAATTAAATCATAACCTAAAAATTAGAATGTTACATATCTCAAGTGCATTGGCCTCTTATTATGTGGGTGAATCCACTTCTCTTCTTAGTTCATTTACTTGTTCAAATTCTCATCTTAGTATATATACACTAAGGCTTCCTCAAGTTTGAGCAATGCAAGACTTCTTTTGATACACACAAATACAAAAACTTCAACAATTAACCCCCTCCGTTAACTTGATGGATGTTGCTTGTTCAGTGTTTTGCTAAGTGTATTTGTTGACTTTTTTCCTTTTACATGTAATGCCATGTGGATGTTTGAATTGCTATGTGGCAATTGGGAGAGGGAGAACAAAACATCAAAATTAAACTCAATCAAATATAGAAACATCAAATATAGAAGCACTATAACAAGAAATCACAACCTAGTAATGATTTAAGAACGATCAAACTGGAAATCATTTGCCTTTTTGAAACCCAAAAATAGAAACAAAAATAACTTTCATCAGAAATCAAAAAAGAAAGATCAAACAAAAAGTAAAAATATAAGTTCAAGATCAAGCTTGCATCAAAAAACTAAATAGCATAAAAAATTATAGTTCAAGATCGAACTAGAAATTAAACTTGAAATAAGAAACCACCCTAATAATGATTTAAGATTGAACTAAAAATCATTGGCCATTTGAAACCCATAAATGGAACCAAAAATTCATTTCATTCAAAAATCTAAAAAGAAAGAGATTGAATAAATCAAACTTATAATGAAAGTTTCCATTCTTCTTTCTCTGATGATCGTTGCATCATGGTTCTCCTTTAATAAACACACCTATCATGGTTCTCCAACGATCGCCCGTCGAGGCGAGGGGAAAGAGGATGATAAGTCGAGCTAGAGCATAGACTCCCTCACTAGCCTAGCTTTAGCATCCAGCCAAGAACTCTCCTATTGAGCCATGTGGTTGAGGTATGAGTGTCAACTTTAGGCTAGTGTTTTGCCAGATCAATTCCCATTCCAATAGTAGAAAGCAACTTGTTGAATCTTAAAATAGGAATCTAATCACAGAAGCCATCTAGTGTTGTAGAGGAAGACATGAGGAAGCTCATCTACCGCAAAGATTAGATTCTCTAGTGATAGATGTGCACCTAAAATCAGACGTGATAGAATACTAAAGCGATAAAATTGAGAAGCATGGGGTACGGGGAAGCATAAAGTGAAAATAATCGTTGCTTCATAAGAATTGATAGCATATCTAATAGCTCCCTCCTTCTGAATATGAATCTACCTCTCTTTCGTCTCCTGATTTCGAACACAAAGAAGACTAAGAGAGAAGGAGGGGATGAGTGAGAGGGCCATGTGTAAGAGGAGATGAGTGGCAGTACAAATTTTTTATTTTTTAAATTTCTAACATGGCATTCAATTGTTTACCACATAGATTTAATGTGGGCCCCACATCTTCTAACCAACAAATGTTACCTCCTACTCAACCTAAGGGAAAAATTGAATCGTTTTTTAATTTTAAAGGGAAGATTGTATCAAAGTTTAATTTTGGATGAATTTATAATCATTTTTTAATGAGGGATAAATGAGGGAAAATAACTAAATTAAGATAAATCAATAAATCACTTTAAAAGTAGTATGAGTGATAAAAATGAATGATTGAAAAACGTGTTATAGTTGTGAACATAATCAAAGAAATTATGATGTTAATATCACAATCATTGAAAAGGTATAATAAAAAAAAAAGTCGTAGCACATTAAAAGCTGAGTTTGTAAAAAAGAACACTGTCATGACTTAAGATGTTTTTGTGATTCTACCTTATACTATAGAAAGAGAGATGTGACAAAATCACATATAAGGCTTTTAGAAGCAAGATAATTGATCTTAAAGCACAATAGATTTTGATAATGCATTAGAGTGCAGAGGTATGAAGGTCTCGAATGCAACTAATTTTAAAGTTCGAATGACCGAACTACCCCAAATCTAAAATGCAAGCTTTCTCTGTGTTTGATTCATCATCTACATATTACTCTCCTTCTCATTGTAACTATTGGAATGCCCAATAGAACTAGAGATGCCCTAGAGGCAAAATGAAACCCATCGATTCAAACAATGATCAACAAGAAACCAACTAGAAATCGTGAACCAGTAACTTTGAATTTATGATTTTTGCAAGCATTGCAATGATAGGATTGTTGGATGCGAGGAAAGAAAAGAGCAGTGACATCACAAAATCTTGGATCAATGAAACACAGAGCTTCCATCTTGACTCATATTTTTCGATTATACTAGGGAATAATTCGATGTTTGGTTTTGACAATGAGCCTTTCATGATAGATTTGAATCCCACTATCCTATTCGAAACTGAAACAATTATCTTGATGTACATTTTGAGAAAACTTATTGTGGTATGATGGTGAAATTATTTATAAAAGTTTTTGTTTAAACAAGGAACTCCATTAATTTTCAATGAAATGTCCATTTTTTTTACAATAAAATGTCCATTTATTAAAATAAATGTGGTTTTAACAATTGAATACACGTGCTGTTTGAGTTAACCACAAAAAATTAAGGGTGAAGTAGCAAATTTGATCATCAACTATTTTTTCAAGAATACTGGGTAATCTATACTATCAAGTAATGCAAAATAAATTTTTAACTTTAAACAATAGAGAATCTAATAGCTCGCCGTTAATTTCACTCAAGGGATGTTATGTGAGTAGCTAGCCACCTCAACATGTATAAATATGCAAATTTAGTCACGAACTATTTTTCAAAAATATTGGGTAACCTCTACTATATAAAACGAACAACCAACACTTTTCCATTAATTTTGACCAAGCACTGTTTATTTTCATATTTATGAGACCCACAATGCGTCAATTTTTTCAATCTTCTTGCCTTTATTTTCAATCTCAATTCGAGAAGAAGAGGTTTAAAGATTTCTTATTTGAAGATATTCATGAGGATGATACTAACGAAGTAGAAGAAATAATTCATGACTGAATAAGGATACCAATGAAGTAGAAGAAATAATTCATGACTAAATTAAGTTAGAATTAAACTTCTTTCATGTATAGTAAAATCAAGTTTCTATTTTGTTGGTATCGTTCTTGTGAAGGTCTTTAAATAAGAACTATTTGAACCTCTTCTTCTTGAATTGAGATTAAGAATGGAGGCAAAAAGATTAGAAGGATTGACGCATCGTGAATCTTATAAGTTTGAAAATAAATTATTTTTGATCAAAATTAATAGGAATGTGTTCAATGGTCTTTTTTTTTATAATAGAAGCTACCCCTCCTCGAAAAATAATTCATGACTAAATTTGCAACATCAAGTGTTATTTGTGGGCTTCAAATAACATCTGTTGAGTGAAATTAGTAGTGGATTACTGTATGTTCTATTTTTAAAAGTTGAGAATTTATTTCACACTACCTGATATTAGACTACCTAGTGCCTTTGGAAAAATTAGTTGGTAGATAAATTTGGTACTTTACCAAAAAATTAATAACACAAGCTTTCTAACTAATAAGAAAAATCTAATTATCTACAATAAAAAGTCTATTTATTCACAAGGTCCATGAAAATTTATATAGGAATAAGAGAACATTTATAAGTTAACTAAAAAAAATTGACACTTAAAAATTTTTAAATAACAATAAAAGTCCAACTATTTATAATTAAAGGTTTATTTATTTACTAGAGTCATTGGAATTTACAATTTATGCTTAAACAAGAAAAAATTTACAAGATAACTAAATGAAATTAACAAAATTTTTTTGGAAGTAACCGAACAATTTATTTGTTCACAATTGTCCAAGTCAAGTCAGTTCACAAATTAACCAAAATTAACAAGAGACAGTAACAAACCGAAGCAAGAGATCGCTTCGGGAACCTGTAGGTGTACGGAGCCGAGTCGCTTTGAAGTTTGAACGGCAGGCGACTGTCTCTCAACTGTCTCGTGCGTTGTATCCTCTTCGTCTTTCCCGGTCAGAATTGTCGTCGCGTACTCTTCCTCCTCCTCTTCCTCCTCTTCGTCTTCAACCTTGTGGAATCGTTCCCCTTCGCTGTCGGCATGGCCTCGCCGACACCAGGCAGCTCTCGATCAGCTTCTTTCAGGGATGACGACTCCGACACTGCCAAGCTTGAAGGCACTGGTAGCTGGGATGCCATCGAATGGACCAAAATTGAGGTTTTGTTCCCATATTTGTTAATTTATTAATTGAAATTTTGTATCTTCTTTTTCTTCTTCTTTTCCCCTTCTGGTGCGTTTTCACTTCAGTTGTTTCGTCATTTATTCTTGCTTTGCTGTGAATTTTTCTGCAGCCCATCATACGCCCCATTTCGCGGGAGAATCTAGATTTCTTGCTTGAGGCTGAGCAAGTCAAAGCCCAAGTATGCAGCAGCCTGAATTATTCTTCTTTTCTTTGCTTTATTTGAAGAATCGTAAACTTGAAATTCACCCTTCGTAATTTTCTTTCAGTAATCTTGGGTCATTTTTTGCTATACTGGGCTGTTTCTCGTAGCACCCATCTTCTTTCTTTCTTTTTTCCCCTTTCCCCGCTTTTTACCCATATACCATCTGTCAGCTATGTTCAATGGATGGGTTCTCAAGTAACAACTAAGAGTCTGTTTGGTTTTCTTCATTTTACGTTCAAAAAATAAAATTTTATTTTTAAAAAGTTAAAAATTATTTGGGTAGAATATTTTACAGAAAAGCATATCTCAAAAGTACATTCAATAACTAAGTGAATTTTTAAAACGTAACTATTTAAAGCTTTTGAAAAATGAATTTAAAGAGCAAGATGTTATTTGATCATATTGTCATAAGTTTAATCTCTTATTCTTTTATTTAAAAAATAGTTAATTCATTAAAAATATAATTATTATTTTAATAATAATAATTAGATATCAATTTTTTTAGTATTATAAATTAAGTAATTAATCATGTTAATTTTTAGCATTAATGTATAATAAAAATTACAAATCTTTATTACATCTTTTAAAATTACAAATTAAAAAATACAAATAACTAGAGATCAAATTTTTAGCATTATAGATCAAAATTTATACTATTTAAAATCTTTATTATATTTTTTAAATATTTTAAATATATTACATTTGTATAATAAAAATTATAAATTATTATAAATCAATGTTCTTTTTGATAATTGTACATTTAAAAGAACATTTCATTATCACAAACTAAACAACTTTCAATGTATCAAACTAACTTTTAAAAAAATATATCCAAATACAAATTTTGTTACAACAATTGACTTTCACTAAACTGACTTTCACTAAATGAACTTTTATCAAATGAACTTTTGATAAATTGAAAACCAAACGCACACTAACAAGGCGGCATTGTATAAAACATGAATTAGTTGTGTTGTCTTATACAACTTGGTCAGATTACTTCAAATGTAAATAATGTATAATCCTCACGGCAGCCAAAAGGTAAATGGCAGCCTCACCTCAGTCAAGGAAGGTGCTAAAATAGGACAACACCTGAAAATATGCTATATAACTGCAAAATAAATAATATTTGATGTAAAAAATTAATTGTTTAAGAATAATAATCATATAAAAAGTGAACAGTTGAAGTCGTCAAGTTACAAAGTACTTGTCTTGTTCAAAAGTGAATGACTAACAACAGCCTCAATGAAAATCTTTTAAAAGTGAATGATCCTAGTGTATGCGAGGTTGTAGAACTATGTAAAATGAACCTAGTATATGCGAGGCACTCGAGGAGAGTGCCTTGCATCCAATTGGATGAAGGCTCTTTATCCAGCTGGCTGGAACCATTGAGGCCTCACCTTAGAGCATCAGATGTCAAGGTGAGAGCTTTTAACTATATTCTCTCAACATGCTGAATTTGAATGTGTAACCAGCAGTGACATGCTAATGGAGTGTGGATATGAAAATTCTTCTCAGCTCCATGCTTACAATGGCTGCGGTATGGCAATTTTCACACGGCTCCACTATAGGCGTAGGGAATAAGCTATTTTTCTTAGCTGCTATTGCCTATAGGTGCTAAACATAAATAGGGAAAAAAAAGTCCTAATTTAAGCGAGTTCACAAAGGCTGCTGCTGGAAATTGACTCAACCTATTCTTGGACAATCAAAATTGAAGAATCAGACCAATTCAAAAAAAAAAAAAAAAAATTGAACAAAGTAGTATGCCTCAAGCATGTTAGAGCTCCAAGAAAAGCAAATGTTTGGCAATTTACTCTCTACCATGAACATTTAGTTACTGTTAAGCTAACAGGACATGTGATGGAACAGAGATGAGATTCAATTAGTTTTATTTTAGATGTTTTGGATTATTTTATTAGGTTTGTTTGAATAAGGATGTTGAATATCCATCAGATTATTTAGGGTTTAATTAGATTTTCTTGTCATTATCTTTTTTATGATCGTTTTAGATTTTCTTTCTTTTCACTAAATAGGATACCTACATGTATAAATCTAAATTATCCATGTTATCTTTTAGGACTAAGTTAACATTTCATTTATTATTATTATTTTAATATTTCCAAGGCTCTATAAATAGCCCTTGAGTTTAGCAGTCATATTCAAATTACTTTTGAATAAATTGAGTTGAATTTTGAATTGTCTCCTTTCTTTGAGTTTCTCCTTTCTCTCTAATTCTCTCTTCTCTACTGTCTTTCTATTTCTTTTCTCCTTCCCCACTTCTTGTGCTTGAGCTTGGTTCCTACTTCCCTTCCCTGTGTTACTTTCCTTGTTTGAGATTTATTGAAATCCCAACACTAAACAAGGCATAAAAAAACTCCACCCTCTAACATCATTGCCATAATCTGTTTATAATCCTTCACCATAATTTGTTTACTCGCCGTGCCACCACGCTCTCCACAATTCTTTCAAGTCCTTGAATTTGCCTAAACCACAATGTTATCATCATCGATCACCAACTAACGTGCCTTCACATGCCACTGTCTCCTGCTGCTCGTAGAGTTCACACACAACACTCATAAAGTTCTCATTGGCTTGTTGGCTCTCTGCATCACATGCCCTATATGCTCTAGAAGCTCCAGATTGATGTACCATTTATTCTGAAATTTCATCCTGTTTGTTCGTGCAATTTAACTCTTCAGAGGAAAGTTTTTCAAGCAGGGCAGAAATGATGGAATATGAATGTGATTCAATTAGTTTTATTTTAGATATTTAGGATTATTTTATTGGGGTTGTTTGAATACGGATATTGAATGTCCATTAGATTATTTAGGGTTTAATTAGATTTTCTTATCAGTATCTTGGTTATGATCATTTTAGATTTTCTTTATTTTCAAAAAATAGGATGCCTAGATATATAAATCTATATTATCCTTGTTATCTGTTAGGATTAGGTTAAGATTTCATCTATTATTATTTTAATATTTCTAAGTCTCCATAAATAGCCCTTGGTTTATCAGCTGTATTTAGATTAGTTTTAAATAAATTGAGTTGAATATTGAATTGTTTCCTTTAAGTTTCTCCTTTCTCTCTAATTCTCTCTTCTCTACTATCTTTCTATTTCTTTTCTCCTTCCCCCCTTCCTGTTTTACATCAATATGAGTCTATACAATTTAAATTACCTTTATTCTGTTGGTATATTTTGGCTATAGAGTAAGTTTGTACATGATTTTTGCTTTCAGGAATATGGTGTTGTTCTTGTTAATAACAATGATGTGGGTACATTAATGGTTACAAATTTTCGCCTTCTATTTGTGGTAAGTATTTCGCAGAATATATCCTGTTTCTTAGATCTAAATTTTGATAGCACACTATGAAGCAGATGTCCTGAATTTTGTTATTTTCCATTTTCCATAACATAAAAATTTGATTGCCATGCAAAGGTGAGTGCAATGATGTGATGTTAATATAAAATGGTGGCCAGCAGTTGCAGCTGATTTGTTGAGTTTTGAATTGTGAGTTAGGATTGGCAGGTAAGAAAGTTGTTGAAATGCATGGTTTAGGGTGACTATATATGTTATGAACGAGCGGGAGATTTTGAAATAAATTCAACCACACATCATTTGATATAGTGAAGATCTTGGAGTGAGGAATTAGATTATTTCAGTCATATATATTTAAGAGCTTTTAATATTCTTTTCCCATGATATTATGTCTTTTTTAAGACTCACCAAAAATAAGATGCAGTTGGTCATGCAATTATGAAGTCAAGATGCAGTTGGTCTTTAATATTTCTAGTGCTTGCTGTACACTATCTAATTATTTGTTCAAATCTTAGTTGAAGGACTTAATAAATTTAGCTCCTGAGTGTCTGTTGCTGAATTGTGCGTATTTATGAATATCTACTTTATCATATGTGTTGTATTGGAAACATTGTACCTTATTATATAGCTACATATGTTATTGAGTGTCTACATATTGATCTGTTCTTTTGCCTTTTCAAGAGTGAGAAAACCACAAAAGTTATTGCTCTAGGAACAATCCCACTTGCAACGATCGAGAAGTTTACCAAGATTGTAAGTTCATAAACTTGCAAATCATGCTACAAATTTGTGCTTGAGTTTTCTGTTATTGAAATTGTATATGCTGCCTTATATTGTGTCAGACCCTCTTCCATCAATGTTAATATAGTTTTCATATTGTGAATTATTGTTTGCATTTGTGGTGAATGGAATTTTATTCAGAGATGAATCTATACTTATAGAGTACAAAATAGAGATGATGATATCATATCAGAAAAATAAAATAAAATAAAATAAAATCCCTACTGATCAGCTGAAAAGGATAGCAGGAATAAAAATAAAAATCTAGGGTTAAGTTAGCTAATGGGCCTATAACCCATCAGTCCACTTTCCACACTCCCCTCCAAGCTGGCGAATAGACATTGATCATTCTTAGCTTGCTTATCATTTCTGCAAACTTGGCTCTAACAAGAGGCTTGGTCATCATATCTGCAACTTAGCTTCTTGAGGGAATATATGCTAGATCTATGATTTTTGCTTCAATTTTCTCTTTGATGAAATGTCTATCAATCTCAACATGCTTAGTACGAGCATGTTAAACAGGATTATTTGCAATCTTGAGAGCTGCCATACTATCACACTACATTTTTATAGGAACCTTCATTTCTATACCAAGTTCCTTCAGTTGTTGTACAACCCATATAACTTCACAAATTCTAAGAGCCAATGCTCTATATTCAGCTTCCGCCGAGCTTCTAGAAACAACTGGTTGCTTCTTGCTTTTCCAAGTTACCAGGTTACCCCACACAAATGTGCAATATCTAGTGGTGGAATGCCTATCATAGATAGCTCCTGCCCAATCTGCATCGGTGTAAATTTCTACATCTGTTACATTTTCTGATCTCGGAGTTCTCTTATTGCCATCTGCATATATTTCTACATTCTTCTTATTCCCCTTTGAGAAGAATAAACCCTTTCTAGGTGTGGTTTTTATATATCTAAGAATCCTATATACCGCCTCCATAAGCTCCTTCTGAGGATTACTTGCAAACTGGCTCACAACTCCTACTGCAAAGGATATGTCGGGCCTTGTGTGAGATAAGTAAATGAGTTTTGCCACCAATCTTTGGTACCTTTCTTTACTCACTGTCTTACCATTAGGTTTCACTTCAATATTACAATTTAGTTCCATTGGGGTATCTGCAGGTCTTGCTCCCAACATTCTAGTTTCCTTAAGCAAATCCAAGGTGTATTTTCTCTGTGATATATTAATGCCTTGTGATGAGCGAGCAACTTTCAAACCCAAAAAATATATCAGATTTCCAAGGTCTTTAATCTCAAATTCTTCAGCTAGATTCTTCAGCCAGATGTTGCTTTAGTTTCAAGATTTCTTCAGCATCATTTCCTGTAAGTATGATATCATCCACGTACACGATTAGGACAGTTGTTTTCTGACCAAACTGTCTGACAAATAGTGTATGATCAGCTTGACATAGAACATAGCCAAATCCATTTACAGCACGGGTAAACCTCTCAAACCAAGACTTGGGTGATTGCTTTATGCCATAAAGTGACTTGTGCAATCTGCATAATTTACGTGCATTATCTGGACTTCTAAGTCCTAATGGAATCTCCATGTACACTTCCTCTTCCAAGTTCCCGTTTAAGAAGGCATTCTTTACATCAAATTGAAATAATGGCCAGTCTAAATTAGCAGCGAGAGAAAGAAGAACATTTATGGTATTGAATTTTGCCACTGGCGTAAAGGTCTCGTCATAATCAATGCCACAAGTTTAGGTAAAGCCTTTAGCAACTAATCGTGCCTTGTATTTATTGAGACTACCATCAGAATTATACTTCTTTGTAAGAACCTATTTACTCCCAACAATTGACTTTCCTTGAGGTAACTTCACAATTTCCCATGTCTGATTTTTATTTAAAGCATTCAACTCTTCATCAATAGCCGCCTTCTACTTATGCCTCGTTTGGTATTATGGAATTGAGAGTAAGGAAATGGAATTTAAACTTTTGCACGTTTGGTTAGGAAAAATTGGGTTGAATTACACTTACATATGGAAGTCATTTCCATCAAAACTGATGGAATTGAATTCTATAGGGGAGAGCATGGAGGTCCATTTCTGCCAAAGCTTGGACCATGTTACCTTTGCAACTTATCAACGAGAAAGACGGTGGGAGGGTGGCAAGCACAGTGGTGAGGCAATAGTGAGGACAGAAATGGCGACAGGGCGAGGGTGTGATGATGTCGACGACACTGATGGCAAGGATGCAACAGTGGTTGAAGCTCATCTTCATCTTCTTCCCTGCTTTAAAGATCTGGAGAACCAAAAATGTTAAAAGGTAGGAATTGAACGCAGAAACCAAGACTTGTAGGAGTTCATCTTCATCTTCCCCATTTTGCAGATCTAGAGAACCAAAACTTGTAGAAGATCATCATCACCTTTCCCTACTTCAATCACAATGATGATGAGGATGCGCGCTGTCGATGATGTCTTTTTGTTTTCTAGATCTTTGATTTGTCGAAGGTGAAATTGTGACTTCTCTACCTTCATCTTCTTTCCATCACCAGATCTTCTTCTTCTTCTTTAGGTTCTTTAGTTCTTTTTCTTCAAATTCTGTATTGTAACTTAATGGGTGAAGGTAAAAACATTTTTGCTGAAGGTGAAATTGTGGATTTTTGGCTATGGACAGTGGTTCTTCATCACCAATGGCCTGAGTTGTGCAAAATGATGGGTTGATTTTTTTTTTGGAAGAGGGTATTTTTGTCTTTTAATATTTTAAATATCAATAATAAATAAAAGTAATTCATCAATTCCATTGACATACCAAATATATTTTTAAATCTTATATCCATATCCATTTCAATCTTCATTTCCATCTCCATTTTCATTTCCATATCCATGAAAATCATTTCCAACGTACAAAACGGGGCATTAAGGTCAACTATGGCTTCCTCGAAACTCTTAGGTATATTCTCACTATCAACAGCAGCAACAAAGTTCTTAAATTGAGAATTGAGTTTATCATAAGAGACATACCTGTAGATGGGGTGTCTAGTGCAACTCCTCTTGCCTTTTCTAAGAGCAATAGGCTACTGAAGATCTTCAGGGTTACCTTCAGTTTGAGAATCATGGCTTTGCCTTGGTACAACAATGGGATCTTCACTGTTAGTGTGCTGTTCAGACTGATATGTTCTTGATTCATCCACATATGGCTCAAAATTAGGCTTAGGTTTAGACTCAAGATTGGGCTCAGGTTTAGGCTCGGGATTATTGGGCTCACGTTTAGGCTCAGGATCATTGGGCTTAGGTTCAAGATCTGGAATGCGCTTAGGTTCAGGCTCAGGATTTGGAACAAGCATAGTGGAAAAAGGGTCTTGTGACATATAAGGTCTCATACTAGGGCTTTCGGTTTGTTTATTATTTGAATGACCATTATTAATAGCACAAATTAGCCATTCACCATCATTCTCCCCCTAATTGGGTACTTTAGGAAAGAAAGGTAGTGATTTAACAAACGTGACATTCGTAGTGACATAGAATTTTTGAGTGTTTGGAGAATAACATTTATACCCCTTGTTGGTAGAAGAGTATCCTAAAAAGATTCATTTGATAGACCGAGATTCGAGTTTGTTACCAGCATCATGAAAAGCAAAGGCAATGCACCTAAAAACCTTTTTTGGAAGGGAGTTAAGTAAGTGAGAGTGAGGATAGGATTTTAAAAATAAGTCAAGAGGGGTTTGAAAGCTGAGCACCCTTGAGGGCATGCAGTTAATGAGATATGCAGCTGTAAGGACTGCATCTCCCCAAAATTTGTGTGGAACATTATTACCAAGTAATAGGGCCCTGGCAACTTCAAGTAGGTGTCTGATTTTCCTCTCGGCTACCCTATTTTGTTGAAGTGAATGCACACAAAAAGTTTGGTGGTGAATCTCATTTTTAGTCAGAAAAGTGCGAAGAGTAGAATTGAGATATTCAGTTCCATTGTCACTATGAAGAACTTTAATAGAGGTTTGAAATTGAGTTTGAGCAAAAGTATAAAAGTTTTTGAAAATAGTGCAAGCCTCAGATTCATCTTTTATGAGAAAAATCCATGTCAAACGTGTATGGTCATCAATAAAAGAAACAAACAAACCATCTAGCCTTAGTATGAGTTTCAATCCATGAAGGACCCCACACATCACTATGTATGAGGGAAAAAGGTGCGGAGGGACTATAAGAGTTAGCTAGAAAAGGATGACGAGTTTGTTTGACAAATTGGCAAGTATCACAATGAAATTTCATTTTATTCATAGAATTGGGAAACAAAACTTTCATATAATCAAAACTAGGATGACCTAAACGAGAATGCCATAACATAATATCTTCTTGAGACATAATAGAAAAAACAGAAACAGAATAGGAAACAGGATCAACAGAACAGCCTTTAATGGTGGAATTGACTTCCAAATAGTAAAGCCCATTATGTTCCTTAGCATTGCCAATCATCCTCCCTGAGGTTAAATCCTGAAAAATACAACGAGATTTGTCGAAAGTGGCAAGGCAAGATAAATTGTGGGTGATACTTGTAACTAATAACAAGTTACATTGTATATCGAGAACATATAAGACATTCTTCAAAATAATAAAGTCAGAAATAACAATGGTGCCTGTTCCCATCACTCAAGCATATGTGTTATTGGCTACTTGTACACGAGTATGCTCAGAATGAAGGCTAAACTCAAAAAATAATTCCTGAAAACCCGTAATGTGGTCTGTTGCTCCAGAATCAACCACCCAAACGTTGTTACATTGAGAAATAGCACTAAGTGCAATTAGTAAAGTCTTACCGGTATGGGGTAAGGCAATTAAAGGAGTGGGTTTCTCACTTGTCTCATCACAAGAGTATTTCTCCAAAATGCGTCTCATCATAGCAATTTCCTCAGTATTGAGTGTATGATCATAAGTAGGATTGACAGTGAATCCTTTACTATCCCTTTTTAGTTCGCCCTTGTTATCACCCTTGGTGTTGGACTTTAAATGAGAAGGCTTGCCATG